TTTCACTCAGCTTCCCGGAAGTATCACCACTTCACTACTGCAGTTACTTGGACGCCCTTCTTTTCAGAAGATCCTTTTGAAAAACAGAGTTTTTCCTCCAACTTGCTTCGTTACAAAGGATGTTTGATGAAGTTCTTGAAGTGTTGAAGAACAGGATGAACTTTGCTTGTTTGTTGGGGATGAGAGATTTGGAGTTTGAATCTTCCCAACGTAAGCTTGTCTTGTTGAAGGCTGTAGAATTTGAATCTCAAGAGAGCTTGAATGATGATGAGCAAAAGTTGTAGCAAAAAGGTTTTTCGCAAAGTTATCTTCCTTGTTCTTCTTCGTGTAGCTTATATACGGAGGTTGTCTGCCCGTTGGAGGAGGAGACAACTGCATTAAATGCGCGTACTGTTGACTTGACCGCCGTTTTGGAAGGTTTCTATTTTTATAATATATCTTCCCGGATTCCTTGGTCAATCATTTGCAATCAATCCTTCAGCGTATCAGGCTCATTTAATGTGCATTAAATGCTTTCCTTTCATGCACAGTCTTCTAGCCGTTGGATGTTTTACCCGTTGGATTCATAGCTGTTGGATGTTGCATGAAATCCTCTAAGTGTTAGTCGGGCTCTGATCAGGATCTTCTGATGTGTTGGATTCTGATGGCTTTCTGAGTTCTGATGGCTTTCTGATGAGTTGAGTTCTGATGGCTTTCTGATCTCTGACTGAACTCTAACTCTGACTCTGATAGGTCCGCTGATGAGTACCTCTGATCTGTAACTCTCATCGGTTATCAGATGTCCAAATTTATCAGCAACTCTCATGGTGCAACTCTGATGGACTTCTGATAAGAGAACTCTGATGGAGCAGTTCTCATAGAGCAAGTCTGGTCGAACAATTCTGATGCACTTCTGATCTGATCCAAAACAGAGCAACTCTGATCGTCGACTACACTAATACTTACAATTGAAAACTCTAATACATAAAATCTAATTGGGGGTACTCTAACTTTCTAATCCTATAGCATCATCAAAATCTAATTACATTTATTCCTTACAATTCTTTCTTTAAATACTATTTCTATATCAATGTTGGGGAGTGTTACTAAGATCACAATTAGTTAACATCTTGACATTGGTCTTAGTAATAGCTATTCCTTCCTCTATGTTAATATCAGGGAGTGTTACTAAGATGACAATTAGTTAACATCTTGATATTAACTATAGTAGGATTCATTTTCTTTAATATTCTTCCTTGAGTATTAATTGATTCCTATTCATATTTCATATTAATATTTTGAACATTACTTAAAGGATCAACTAGTTTTGTTTCATATATTAATTATTACTAGAAACGATCAACGAACCGATGGTCAATCGTTGATAGTTTCACAAGTAAGTAACTTCGGTTTATTAATGCACAGTCGTGGTTAATAAACTTAAGAGGGATTAATTTTGTTGGTTAAACCGAAACCATTGTGTTGAGGTTATCAATCTCAAATGATTTCATCAAGGAGTTAAGAGATTAAATGCTACTATCAAGTCGGTATATGGCGTTGTTCTATACTTGACTAATAGTAAGGGTTATTAATGAACGGTCGTTGTTAATAACTAACCTCGATGAATTGGATATACTCCTCGATTGAGTATTCGAGAGGAGATAAGTTATAGATATAACAATGATCGACTAAAATATATCAACAAGTGGAAAGTAGCAATGCCAAGTCCTTTTTATCTTTGAATTAAATCACAAATAAGTTGTTCATCTTCTTGTTTAATTTAATTAAATCACTCGATCCCAAACCCCCCCCCCCCCCTTATTTACTAGTTTTACTAAAAAGAGAATTATTCCTTTCCCTGTGGATACGAACTCTACTTCACTATACTACGTATAAGTGTTAGTATTGAATTTATTTTGACGCACCATGACAAAGTGCACGTCAAACATCTCCTTTGCTAATGAACAATACTACCTTAGGATGTGTGGAATACTCTATTTCATTATCTTTTGTGATCATAGAGCCATTCCAATGAACAAGAATGGCAGTATCCGAACTAGCCATTTCTAAATACAATAGATTAAGAAATATAAAGTATATATGAAGTGAGAAAAACTATTGTGTCTTGCGGTGAAGAATTAAGAATGAAGTAAGGATTTTAATAGGTGAATGGAGTGTTAGCGTAGGTGGAGAGTGTGGAATGGGTGTGAACACGCGTATGCTTTTGGCATTTGGAAATGGGGTGTCCGAATAAGAGTGGGGTATGGATTTTTAATTTTTTCATTTGGAATTTTGCTATCCGAATGGTTGGGGATGGATTTTTATTTTTTGCATTTGGAATTTTGCTATCCAAATGGTTGGGGTATGGGTTTTTATTTTTTGTATTTGGAATTTTGCAATCTGAATAGTTGGGTATGGGTATGAGTTTTTGAATTTTATTTAGAAAATACCATTCCCAATTGACCCCACCATACCCAATTTTATTTTTTTTCATTAGGAAACTACCATTCCGAATTGACCCCCCATTTTTTTTCGCCATTCGGAAAATGCCATTCCAAATTGACCCCACCATCATTTTTCTCTCGCCCTAATTCATTCGGAAATTGGCTTTCCGAATCCCGTTTTTTTGTACCCTAATTACAACTCCCGTGGTTTCGGGATTCTCTCTCGGATTTTGGTGCTCTAAGGGAAATTAACCTATCCATTTCAAATCTGTCATGGAGTGCTAAAATGTGTTGATTTTGTTCAATAAGTCTCGAAGTTAAAGTGTATCCTTCTTTCGCTCAACATTTCTTTTTGTCTACTGTTAAGTTTTTTTGGTTGATTATGGATTGTAATTAGGTCGAAAAGTGTGGGATAAAAAGGTTTCAAATTTCACATATGAAGGGCTTTGAAATTAAATTTGTGAGACCTTGTTTATGGCAGAGTTGGCACAACAGCCTTCCAAAGAGGTATTATCTCGCTTACTCTTTTTAGACAATTTTTGCTGCTTATTGTGTTCCTGTGACTGCGTATGTAAAACCATGCTTAAAAATATGCTATTACACACATAACACAGATTAACTTTTTAGATTGTGGAAATAAATGGTTTATGTAGTTCCAATGGGAAGAAGTAGCTAGTTTTTGTCATTCATATGTTCTATTATTTGGATTAGGGTGGCCGATTCTACCAATTTTGTTTCAAACTGAGAGGTAACTTGTTTTTTATTAGTGGACTGATGAAACAAAGATGATTTTCTTAGGTATGTATCATATGTTGATTTTAGGACTTTGGTGATGCACTTTATTGTTGTTTCCTTTCGTTATTTTTTTTATAATTTCTTTATATTTTCTTGATCTTTTAATTTGATGGTAGTTTTATATGTTAGTTGCTGCTTCCAAGGATTTTCATTCCGCTCACTGAATACATATACAAAAATAATACGTAAGGCTAGTTTTGGTTTGGTACTGAGGGATATGTGATTAAAAGAAGATAAAAGTTATCTTTTACATTCATCTCATTATCAATAAGAGAAGATAAAACATATATATAAATGCATCATCTAACTAATCATATACTCTTATATATAGTCTGAGATTTTAACTCTGAGATTAACTAAACGCAAAGTAGCAATGATTGTTTGTTAATTTTTAAATAGCATCGTTTCTATAGCTTTGTAATGTTTAGTTATGCTTTATGACATTGATATTGCCTTATATACATACTGGGACAATGTGAGATTGAATTACGTTTCTAATTTCTATGCTATGATAATAAACAATCAATGCCAAGTCAAGGTTCACTTTTGAATAAAAACATATTTTGAGTTCGAAACTTCGAACCAATCATAATTAAGAAATTATTTACCCATTATATAAAATGAACGGATAAAGGTTTCTTAATTGATTTATTGATTAGGTTCATTATACACACATGAAATTGAATTTCTACAACCATATATGTTTTTTAACATCAATTTTTTTATAACTAAGTCAGATCAAAGTAATTATTAGAAAATAACTTTTCTTTTAACATTTATGCAGATGCTTGGTGTTACGGTTATAACTTAAGACAAATCCAATCCCAATATATTCTGTTGTTGCACGCTGTAACTCTTGGAGCGGAAGCATAGCTCGTAATTAGCGGACTTCTAGCTGTACATATATATTTTATATTTATTCTATTTTATTACTTTCCTTCTTTATAGAAGATTTTGTTGTATTGGAGTTGTATATATGTAAACCTTCGGTACTTTCAATAGATGAGAAAACATTTTGCCAAACTGGTTCGTGTAGTTTAATATGGTATCAGAGCACCTTTGAACTACACGCTACCTTTGTTCACGATATACGACCATACGGCCATAACGATCAACGACAACCAACCGAGGAGGAAGATTAACGACCCAACCTCCCCTTTTTGCCTGTCCAGTTCAGATTTCCTAGGTCTGAACATTTGCGGCATGACATTGAAAGGAGAACGCAACTATCGGGAATGGGCGATTTCGATGAAGAATGCCTTGCAGATCAAACGTAAGGTTGGATTTGTGGACGGATCAATCAAACGACCCACAGAACCGATTGAAGACGTGGAGGATTGGATAACTGTGAACTCCATGATAGCCGGATGGATCATGACATCGATTGAGCCGGTATTGCGGACGAACATCGCCTTCATGGATGAAGCACGTGATCTCTGGAACGATCTCAGGGTTCGTTTTGCCGTGGCAGATTCAATGCGGACATACGAACTGAAAGATCTAATCCAAAATTGCAGGCAGAATGGGGCGGCAATCACGGACTATTTTGGCCGATTGAAGAATTTGTGGGAAGAACTTGATGACTACAAGACTATTCCACGATTTGAATGCCGAGGCTGTAAGTGTGAAATTGAGAAACAATTTCTCAAACAAATTGAAACTGAGAAGTGCCACGATTTTTTACTCGGTCTCGACAAAGACATGTTTGGGGTCCTGCGTTCGAATATACTCAGCCAAGAGGAGCTGCCTTCCCTGACTAAGTTATACAACATTATCACCCAAGAAGAACGTCATCGCAACATGATCCGAGGCCGGGAAGAAAAACCGGAGGTTACTGCTTTTGTTGTGAGACAGAGTGCACCTACACAAGACGGCGAGCAGAAACTTGTGTGTGGGTATTGCAAGAAAAATGGACATGATACCGACCATTGCTTTAAACGCATTGGGAAATATCCCGAGTGGTGGTTTGACAACCTGGGAAGAGGACGCGGTGGACGAGGTCGTGGGGCAGGAAGGGGGCGTGGAAGGGCAGTTGCAAATGCGGTGACGCACACAGGTCCTGAAGACACTGCCGCACAGCCCAATGAAGACAAGGCCGAGTCTTCTGCCTCACGAGTGCCACCGATGTTCACCAATGAGCAGTGGCGTGTTCTTGTGAAAGCGGTGGAGAATTTTAGGTCGCTTCATCTAATGAAAAGTTGACAGGTATGACTACTGACCGTACGTGGCTCTTGGATTCCGGGGCCTCGTATCATATGACTGGACTAGAAAATATTTTTGATCACAAGCAACAGGTGCCGCCACTGTCCGTTACTTTACCTAATGGGGAAGTAACACACGCTACATATATGGGACATATACAGATTAGTTCTCATATTAAACTGACAAATGTTTTGCTCGTACCCGGACTCCGGTGCAATTTAATTTCTATAGCACGATTGATTGATGATGCTAGATGCGATATATTTTTTACTAATCAGGTTTGTGTGATACAGGCCCTACCTACGAGGACGCCGATTGGAGTGGGTAGAAGATGCGGGGGGGGGGGGGGGGGGTCTACTATTTTCACAGTATGGAAGAAATTTGTGCACATCAAGTGGGAATAGTGGACTTAACGGACTTATGGCATGCACGATTGGGACACCCTTCAGCTTCAGTAGTGCGTAAAGTTTCCAGTTTTACTAATAATATTCCTAGTTCTCAGTTAGAAAATAAGGCTTGTGATGCATGTTTACGTGCTAAACAAACTAGAGCCGTGTTTGATTTAAATTCCGCTCGTGTTATTGAATGTTTTGAAATGATTCATTGTGATGTATGGGGTCCTTATCGGTATTCTTCTTCCTGTGGAGACGCTATTTTTTAACAATTGTGGATGATCATTCTCGTGCGGTTTGGGTACATTTGTTGCTTAACAAAGGAGAAGTTGGAACTATTTTGAAACATTTTTTTGCTATAACTAAGAGGCAGTTTAATAAAGATGTTCGTGTTGTACGAAGTGATAACGGGAAAGAGTTTATTGCACTGAAAAATTATTTTGATGAACATGGGATCGTTTTTCAAACTAGCTGTGTCTATACGCCGCAACAGAACGGGCGTGTTGAATGAAAGCACAAACATATTCTGGAGGTCGCTAGGGCGTTACGTTTTCATGCTAATTTGCCTATTCATTTTTGGGGCGAATGTGTGTTGGCTGCCGGGTATTTAATTAACCGCTTACCTTGTCGACTCTTGGATCACAAAAGTCCTTATGAAATTTTGTACAACAAAATTCCATGCTATACTAATCTCCGTGTGTTTGGATGTTTGTGCTACGCCCATGAAAAAATGTACTTGGTGATAAATTTGCACCTCGTGGCGTTAAGTGTGTTTTTCTTGGGTATTCTTATTCCCAAAAGGGATGGAAAGTTTTTGATCTTGAAAATCAGAGGCATTTTGTATCCCGAGATGTTCGGTAGAATCAATTCCCGTTTGCTTCTAATCCGCCATGCAACGTAAATGAACTTGATGGGGATCGTGCGGCTCCCATAGACGGTGCTAATTCTCACCATACTCACGAGTGGCTACGGTTGGTTGATGACAAGGATATACATGCTGATGAAGGTGGAGCCAACACCACAAACGACACGGGTACAACTATTGCTTCACCACCACATACATCCGTTGATGACTCCACACTCCTTCATTCCAGCGAGGCTCAGTCAACAGGGATAACGGGTGATCATACCTCTACGGCAGTGGGTAACGTGGCACCAACTCAAACTTCACCTGCTTTGAGACGAAGTAACCACACATGTGGAGTACCAGTATGGCAGAATGATTATGAAATACAATTAAATACTGTGAAAATGGTTTCTGCCCCCAGTCAACTTCCTACTCCGATCGTCCCCTCAGGTACACCTTATCCCTTATCTGATGTAGTAAATTATAATCGTTTTTCTGTGCAGCATCGAGCCTTTCTTGCTGCTATCAGTGCAAACCGTGAGCCTCAGACGTACAAAGAAGCGGTTATATCACCTCACTGGAGGGAGGCTATGCAATGAGAGATAGATGCGCTCGAGCGCAATGGCACGTAGCAAGTGGAACAATTACCTCCCGGCAAACGAGCTATATTTTGTAAATGGGTGTACAAAATTAAGTATAAGAGTGACGGTCCATTGACAGATATAAAGCTCGTCTTGTTGTGTGCGGGAATCGCCAGGTTCATGGAATTGACTATCATGAGACTTTTGCGCCTGTCGCTAAAATGGTGACAGTACGCACCATTTTATCTATTGCCGCTACACGTGACTGGGAACTGCATCAGATGGACGTTGACAATGCATTTTTGCATGGAGACTTAGGCGAGGAGGTATACATGCATTTTCCACCAGGCTATTTGGCATCTGCTCCCGGGAAAGTCTGCCGTTTGATAAAGTCTTTGTACGGGTTGCGCCAGGCACCCCGATGTTGGTTTTCTAAACTCACACAAGCCCTTCGTTCTTATGGCTTTATACAGTCCGGTGCAGATCATTCCCTTTTCACTTTTCGTGCATCAGGGAAAATATTATGCATTTTGATTTACGTAGATGACTTATTGATTACAGGCAATGACCATCAGCTAATTCTTGATTTTAAGCTTTACTTGGGTAAACATTTTCCTGTTAAGGACTTGGGTTCTATGAAATATTTTCTTGGCATTGAAATAGCACGCAACCCCACTGGGATATTTTTGTGCCAACGAAAATATGTTCTGGATATCTTATCTGAAACAGGTCTGCTGGGAGCTAAACCTGTGTCTTTTCCAATGATTCAAAATCATGGGCTTCAACTTGATGATAGTCCGTTTTATGAGAATCCTGAACAATATCGCCGATTAGTTGGGAAACTTATCTATCTCACACTCACTCGGCCGGATATTTCCTATTCCGTGCATATTCTTTCCCAATTCATGCAGCAACCGCGTATTTCGCATTGGGAGGCTGTAGTTCGTGTCTTGCGATATCTTAAGGCACACCCAGGTCAAGGAATACTTTTGCGATGTGATTCGAACCTCTCTTTGACTGGTTTTTGTGATTCGGACTGGGCGAGTTGCCCGACTACCCGACGCTCTATTTCTGGATATTTTGTTATGCTAGGGTCCTCTATTATTTCATGGCGTACCAAGAAACAAAACACGGTTTCACGATCCTCGGTTGAAGCTGAATATCGGTCCATGGCACTATTAACATGTGAGTTATTATAGCTCAAGAGTTTGCTTTTGTCACTCGCAGTTTCCCACTCCCAACCGATGCGGCTGTTCTGTGACAATCAGGCGGCCCTTCATATTGCGTCTAACCGGCCGGTCTATCACGAGCGGACAAAACATATTGAAATAGACTGTCATTTCTTGTGGGACCATATTAGCTCAGGCGCCATTCTCCCTTCCCATCGGTCCACTACCGAACAACTAGCCGATGTCCTCACAAAAGCTCTTGGTCAAAGACAGTTCGAATATTTGTTGTCCAAGATGGGTATTCGGGACCCTCATAGCCCACCTTGAGGGGGGTGTTGCACGCTGTAACTCTTGGAGCGGAAGCATAGCTCGTAATTAGCGGACTTCTAGCTATACATATATATTTTATATTTATTCTATTTTATTACTTTCCTTCTTTATAGGAGATTTTGTTGTATTGGAGTTGTATATATGTAAACCTTCGGTACTTTCGATAGATGAGAAAACATTTTGCCAAACTGGTTCGTGTAGTTTAATATATGTCCCAAAGTGATTGAACTTGAAAGTGTTTGCTAGTGTTCATGAGGTAATTTCTTCACATTTTGTTACATCAATGCATATCTTATACTACGTATATACTTGAGGTATATTGTGATCTTGTGCCTTTTATATCGCCAGTAATATGATGTTTGCTTTTTCCATTTTTTGTAAAGTAGGCAACTCTCTTACTAGTTTGAAGAGGCAGAAGACCATACAACATGCTAAGCACTTGATTCCTTTCTTAAGTAAAAGATAGCAGTTTGTTTTGACATTCGGTAAATATGTGATCTCATTTATTGATCGTCTAGATGATTCAATATATACCTATCCTTCCTTTTATTTCGTTCTTTGTGCTGTTTCTTATTAATGAAACCTCAACTTAATCTTGATTTTGCTTTAGTAGATCGACCCACAATTTCTGAAATGCTAATTTGGTTTTCTTTGTCTTTCCAGGATGATGAGAAGTAGTACCAACAATCCAATGAATTGAATGAAGAGGCATGCTGATTGCGTGTTTTTAGAAAGCAGTGGTTTTGCGAGAGATACATAGCTATTTTTCTTGGGAGATGAATCAATTTCTTTCTCCTCATACGCAGTGTATGCTCAATTAATGGATCATCATATTATTTGTTAGTTCTTGATAATTAACGGCTTGGAATATAATAGTAATAGACCTACATTTGATTGCTCCCACCCCATAATACGTACCCTTTTCCCGATCAAACACTGCACTATATTGTAGCCTGCAGGGACGGAGGTATGTATAATAGCAAGGGGGCCATTGCCCCCCCAAGTTTATTTTTTTAGTTAGTAGTATTATTATGTACTAGTATATTTCTTTGCCCCCCTCCCTCAAATCTTTTACGTACACTATTTTTATGTTACATTTGCTTGTGTTGCATTTGATTTACAAAGATCGATTAAATAAAATGGAAGATTTAAAAGATATATAGTGGTTTTTCCAAATACTATAGAAATAATATTTATTAATTAAAAGATGATTAAAGGTGCTATGAATATATTCTGATACCATCACCTAAGTGCAAAAATGAGACATAAATTAATCATTATGACTAAAATTTATTTTGTTTTTGGAGAATTCAATTTATTATTTTATCAATGCAAACACACCATGTAATGATAAGATGATAAGATTGATTAGATAATATTGATCCCACTTTTGATCAAGTTGCTAATGATTAGATAATATTCAGAAGTGCAAATTTCACTTTTAAATGAATACCGGATATTAATGATGCATATACAATGGAACTAAATAGGGGATTGAAAAGTGAAACTAACATGTTCTGAAAGTGATAAGTCTAGCAAGGATAAATGCAGATGAAAGGAGTGGTTATAGAAAATACCTAATTTTTCAAGTAGTGAGCAAGATCAGACCATTTCTAATAGAAACAATTGCTGCAAACACCTATGTTTATTCATGTCCATTATGCGTGTCTCTTACACGATTCACTAATTGCAATATTTATGAATTCAACATGTGAAAAGCATGATGAGTATACTAATAATCATAAATAAGACAACTATCATTCTATTATATATTCTTTAAAGTATAAACTTTAGTAGTTTGTCACCATCTAAGATCTTCAAGCTTATAGTAGAGAGGAAATTACCAATTTACGGGAGTTTTGGGACTGACAAGCCAAAATACGGGACTTCGTTACCAATTTACGGGAGTCGGATTCTCCAATTCCGACAAGAAGGATTAAAGTATAAACAAAATAAAAAACACCTAGTCGGAATTGTGTAATCCGACTAGGGGGTGTTCAAAATTTTTTAAAGTTTCCATTATTTTATTTGTGTAATCCGAAGGAATTAAAAAATAATAAAAAAAAAATATATAAAAAACCTAGTCGGAATTGTGTAATCCGACTAGGGGGTGTTCGAAATTTTTAATGTTTCCATTATTTTATTTGTGTAATCGGAAGGAATTAAAAAATAATAATAAAAAAAATAAAAAAAACCTAGTCGGAATTGTGTGATCCGACTAGGGGGTGTTCGAATTT